AAGAGCTTGGGATAACAGGTAGTCAATACGAAGGTAGAAGAAAGGTGTCATCAGTCGACGAATGTGGTGCGCTGAATGGAAGCGAACCTAACCACGGCGTTTCTTTCTCATTTCAAAGTGACAGTTTCTCAATTCAAAATGATGGTTTCTCAATTCAATTTTATAATGGTGTAGACTTTTTATTACACTCATTTTTTGTGTGATGAACATCAGACAGTGTGAACCCCGGGAACCCCAATCCCGGGACTCAGAGTGCTGAACCACACGAAGCCCCACAAAGACTTGGTATTAAACCAAACAATAGCATAGCTACCTGCCACCAAAGTTGGTTGGCGGTAGCCCGGTTCGAACCTCGGACCATAGGGTCCAAAGCACACTGGTGACAGAGACTAAATTAATGCCCCACCACCGCTGCCACGAATAAAAAGGTGGGAAAATTCTGAAGCACAGTTCTTTCAAGACGTAAGACAACATTGATTACCGAAATTGTTCTTGTAAGTTAGCAGTTATTACAGTTTGCTCAAGTGTATCACTCGAAGCGTCAAATTACTTTCCTTTGAGAACTAAGTCGGTTGGATAATTAAACAAGTTTCAACTACTACTATCCATTCCGTTTAAGGATTTAACTTATCACCGCTTTGTGAGAGGGTTTCTATAAGGAATTTTCTAATTTGTCCAAATCAGATTTTTTTAAATCAACTACGCTCAGCAATTTATTCATAGAACACATCCTTTTGCACATGGAAACTGCACCAAGGCAGAACAGATGCCCAAATAATGTTTAGTTACCACTTTGTCTGTTCTCCTCAAAGATGGTGGCCAAGTGGTTAGGTCACTAAATTGTGGCCCGAAGTCCCGAGTTCGAACTGCTCCACCGCTGCCCCTCTTCCCTATTTCTGTATTTCCCTAGACAGCCTTTGTTTGACCGCAGCCCCCTTCCTGAAAGTTGACTGTACATTTGCTTATTCAATAAATAAAAAAAGAAGTAAAAAGACATTTAAAAAAGTTATCAGATCTCACAAATGACTATCTGGGATAGTTTTGTTGACTATAAAAGTCCCACCTTTTTCTTTAGCACAGTTCCTATACTAAACTAACCAGTTGGACGAGTTTTGTCGTCTCGTGATATGCAAACGAGAGATCTCGCTCATAGCATTGAAAATAATCTCCGTTTACATTTATTCAACATAATCAGTGGTTTAGTCAATTTGTCAGGGCTGTGGCTAATCAAAATAGAGAAATGGGGGAGATGGCTCAGGGCCAGTCCAAAGTCGTATTCCATAGATAACCGGAATTGCTTTCGGGACAGTTTGTCGCACGTGCATGACAAGCTCCATAACTGACCTGCATGCGAGTTCGCACATCCGGACATTGAATTCCGGCGGGTGTCGAATAAATTGTTAAATTGATTGTTTTGAAACTTTTTGTAGAACAGTAGCTACGGTGAACTTTCCCGGTTTTCTGTCTAAATGCATATTGTTTATACTCCCATTGAAATGTCGACATATTCATGGAAAGTATTTATATTTATTCAAGTAATTAAATACAGATGTATTATCCACAATCCTCGTGGTTTCGGATCCTGGAGAAAAATAATACTCATGTGATCTCTGCCCATTGCTTTTGGTTCTATTAAGAAAGCTTCACCGCTTATAGCATTCATTCACTTGCGTGATGTTCTCTGTGTTGAAAAAAACGTTTATTTTTCAGTCATGTGTTTTCTGTGAGCGTAATCAGCGCAGCTCACAGGCCAACTACGGGGCATGCATCCAGTGTGCGTGGAAAACCTGCCGGACTTATTTTCATGTGACATGGTGAGTTATGTGGTCAACACTTCTGAACCTTTTAGTTACATGTTGTTTGCCTTGACTTTCTTGACAGATTCTTTGATGTCATGGGTAGTGTTATCTTTGTTTGTACTTCATTGTTACCCGCTTACCTTTCCTGATTCTCGTCAATTATTAGTGCTAATATCAACTTATTTTAGATAGATATTTTTATAATAACTTGGTCATATTTGATTTAGACTTCCAATCTTGAATTAATTCATCTCCAATTAGATTTTAAAGTGGCTAGTAGTCAGATTTAGATTATTCAGCCGCAAAGTTTTAGTTTATAAAACAGCAATGAAAACTGTTTGCGCATTGTCTACGTTGATGTGTTCCCGTTCCACATGTGTGGATGCAAGTCGTGCGCAATTTTCCTTAGAACTCATGGCCTGAATAATGTGATAAATCACAATTCGTTTCAGCGCGGCTTCCTCGGGCCTACTGACGGATTTACCGTCGTCGGACGCCAGTGCTACTCTGTCCCTGGCATGTGTACTTTTATCCGCACGACCGAGAACTTCTATCGGAAAATCATCTACGGTCGAGGCACAACAACCTGCGACTCGGAGTACTCGTCCACACCTTCTGTCCACGGGAACGGGTTGCGCTAATCCGGTGATGCTGCATGGTTTCTGTTCTCAACGGCACAAAGAGGTAGATTGAACGATCGGATCAGTAATGCGATGTTTGCCTACTATTCGGTCTCGACAGCTATTGTCAGCCACCTGTTTTTACCTTTCACATATTCAAATGCATGCTGTGTTTATTGTTCATGCTACAGCTCTATGCTTAAAGAAGATGTCCAGCTGTTTTCTATTCTTTCTCACATTTTACTATTCGGGGCCAGACGGAATCAAGAACAACTTTCCATATAGAGATCGTACATTAGTTGCCGGTGCTTTATTACCAGGTCGGTGATAATGTTTGCGTTTCAGTTAAGTCGCGCATTTTTGGTTTCTCTGAAGTGATTAATCTCTCTCTGTGTATGTTCTTTTACACGATATAGGATGAATGATTCAAGTACCAGTTTAGCGAATTACCTTCTCTTTCTTCGAATCAATGTGAAAGGAGTAGTCGTCTTTTTTATGTCAGCACCATACGATGTGTGTACTGCTACCTCGGTTGCTATCTATAAAAGGCATCGGAAACTGAAAGGAACTCCAGAATTTCAGCTTATATGGGGCTAAATGTGAAATTGTAAGAGTGAGACATTGTGTTGGTGGACAGTTTATTGCCACAACAGCTGCACTTATATATACCTCCCTAAAACAACAAGTATTGTGTATGTCTAGCAGTGTTCTCTCGTATCTGTTTGCAGTTGTTGCTCCAAGTTGAAACAAGTTAGCAAACTGCATGAAAACTAGGTACGAAAAATCTCACAGAGATATCAGACAATGGCCTCTCCATCTCGGACTAGGGTGTCAAAGACTGTATGTAACCTGTTGACTGGAGACACTACGGAACACGACAGAACCGACAATTGTGGTGTTTTTGTTTTCAGTTTATAACTAGCTATATTGACGAGATGTATATGTGTGTGTTTGTGTGTGCTGATCATATTTGGTCACGTTTTTATTTCAAGCCTCTTCATTCTCTAATTACCTTATACATGATCATTCCCTTTGTACATAATGAGTGCGGCAGCCATCAGCGAGGTTGGCTTCATTAAATTTTTCTGCCTTCCTGTTATGCGGTCAAATACTACACATCCCGGTTTGCTTCACATAATTCACCATCCCGTTACAGGTCTTAAGTTGCCTCTTGCTTTGACTTGATAGGACGTTCTCGTGATTGTAAAATTCACTTTTTCTGCTGTTTTTTGTACTAAGGTGTTCTGATTGCACACCCTCGTGTGATAAAGTGTAGACGGTGTAACTCCCATAGTCACTTAGGTATTCAGTCACGGAAACCGGCAACATAAGCCGCAGGACTTGAAGTGGCGAACTACTCCAGGCTCCACTAGGCCTTTGTATTGAGCAGGATGAGAACGGAGCGAGCTGTTTAGCCAAACCAAGGGGGAACGCTGTGTAATTGAGTTTCTTTGTGAAATATTCGTTGTAGTTGGGTGATAACCGGAAATAGGGACGTTAGATACAAAGATCAATCGCTTCTCCTTTTTTACTGTCCATTTTATCGATCTTTGACACTAGTACTAAAAACGAAATGTGTTTACTGTCTGTCGCAAATGAGGTCAACTATGCTTTGGTCATTTTACTGTTAAATTCGTTTCACCGCATGACCCACCACACACATACAGTTAACGTGAGCACTGATTTGTGTGATGCCGATGCGACAAAAAATACGTATCCATTTCCCAATTCACATTTCAGTTTCTGTTGAAAGCACAGTTGCCAGCCTAAAAATGACCTTGGTTTAGACCTGTGGTCCACTCGGACAGGAAAAGATATCTTTTTAGTTTCGTTTCTGGTGGTTTGAAAAGAACTAAAGTTACACCCTTTTCCCGTCCATTGCAGTCCACTTTCCTCTTGTAATTAATCTTTCAGAAATTTACCACTGACAACCAATCCAATGACTTGCTCGGCACACCAACCGTAAAAGAGGCTGGTCAAGCAGGAGCCCAGTGAGTTTAACACGCATTATGTTGTGTTCTTTTGTGACTTTGTTCATTTCATCTACTGACTTGGTTGCTGCACGCCCACCAGGCGTAGTCCCTCAACGGGTAGAAACGAGTAGTTAATGTTTTCATTGGCTTTTCTGCCATTATTGTTGAGACTTTCCGTACTCGGCCGTTACCCAGCTGTTGACTTTGCTGTTTTCAATGAGTGCAACATCCGGAAAGTTCACGTTCGAGTTTGCCTGATGCAAATCATCAGATAGTACGTATGCACATATGATATTTTGGAGAACTGTTCAGTTTGTAGCTTAAATGCGGTCGAACATCGAACCACCATTGAAAACTGTAATTCGTGATAAATTTGATATGTTTGTTCATCATTCAACATAGCACACAACTAACACTTATCGTATTTGAATGGGGTGGAGCAGATAATAGTTTTACATACTAACTAAAATAAACAAGACGAAATCCAGAAACGAGCGCTGAAATCCCGTCCGTGTGTTTGGTAGGGTATAAGTTATTTATGATCCTGCATTTGAATTTCTTTTTATATCTTCTGTGATAGAAAATCTGGTTGTGCACCTTGTCCGGTTTGACCAGATCACTGGGAGCATGTAAAGTCGGGGATTTAACCAATGCATTTATTTATGTTCTTTCTTCACGGGTACTGCCCACCCTCGTTTCAAGCCTTCAGGTTTTTAGGATGCTGGTTTAGTATCGACATAGGGAAATAGGAAAAAGTGCAACTGATTGTCCACTTGGAAAAAGGTAGTGCTCGGTATTATGTATAGGAAATCATCACGTTCACAACTTTGATTCTAAAGTGTATAGCTGATGCTAGGTAGTTTGCCCTGTTTGACAGTGATAATTCAGTGACCAAGGCCATCATATTAGCGGGGTTGTGAGCTCGAATCCCCGTTCTCTTCCTCATTTATGTATTTTCCCCAGATGCCCTTTGATCGGCTGGAGCTCCTTTTCTGAAAGTTGACTGTACATTCAACATTCATAAAGAAATTATAAATGTTGGTCTTTTCATTACGACCGTTACCTACTAGTTGAAATTGTCAAGTAACGAGATATCGTAAGCGGTTACAGCAAGGTTAGTTGTATGGAAATTTGGCCTAATACTAGCACCAGTGTTCAACATAGGTTCCATTAAAACTACAATAAAGAAAAAACAAACAAAAGAAACACACCTCAGAAAATACAAGCCCTACCTACTGTCTTCCCGTGATGGAGGTTATTTCCCATCCAAGTTAGAGGACGAAAAGCGAAATCCGCGGGTTATCACCAGTTGGGTGCAACAGCGGTAGTTCACCCAAAGGAGTTGACTAAAACCCTGATTCCAAACCAACCAAGAGGAGGCGTATGAACCACGCACATCGTGATTGTGGTAGTGGCCACTTAATCGATTTGGCATCGAGGTGAATTGGACACCTGGGGCTTTGACTCCCTTCAGAGAGCAAATGATCCGATGGACTGAACACCTGTCCCCGAATAGATTGCGGTTTTCACACACCGCCCCTCTACCCTATAGATAGGCTTTGGTTAGCTGAAGGCTTGGTTGTGAAGTCCCCAAGAAAATTCATCTGCTTTGGCCTGGGCAACCCAGCAGTTTCGCGTCCTCGAGTAAACCATGGAGCTTTTTCATGACGATAATTGTACCTCGATCTGCTTACCACACACACACACAGGTGCATCTATGCAGCAGTGTTTGATGAGTTACAGTAGTAAACTTTTGGTCGCGACATCCGGTAAGTTTGTGTCTCGCTAGTTTTCGCGCGGCGATCTATCAGTCCTGAGTTGACATCCTAGCCGAGCTACTCCTGTCAAGATCCAAACAACTTTGTATCACAAAATGTGCAAGGCGTGCAATAACGTTCTTCGCAATCAAATGACGCAGTTTCTTGTCATCGTCCCGTCCGTCGTATGCGCATGTAGATCCTGTCACCATCACTCTACGCCGTAGACTATAACAGCCTCTGTTAGGTTGCGTTCATGGATGAACATTCAATACCTCTAACCAATTGAAGCAACAGTTCATCGAATGATGGGCCCACACTATTCATCATTTTAACTGTACTCAAGCAGTGTACATGGTGTATATATACCAATCAATACGTATTTGGTTTTGTTTATTATGCTGCTTCTCTGATTTTCGAATTTGGTAACTCCGAATCATGTGCTCTCTGATTAAATCCTATTGTTTATACTTGTGCTATTTTTGTTTGTTTCCAATCATCACTGATACAGTGCGTCAAGTCCGGAACATGCAACGGAGCACACAGATGAAAGCACAGATGTTCAGTCAGCGGATATTTCAACCGGTAGCATAGGACAACGGCGTCGCACTCTGCCCCACCGTACAGCGCGTTATGGGAACAACACCGGCAATAGTGCCACAATCAGTGCCAGTAGTAGCACATCCGATCTGGTTCAGGATACTGGGGAGTCAGAACCATCAGTTCTTGACTCAGCCACAAATGTAGATACACGAGAGGACTCTAGGGAGACGGAAGAAGCGAAACAATCGACACTCGTCACCAAAGCTAAAACCAGCGTGATTGCAGATAAAGGCCAGATTTCGGACAACATTGTTGGCGATGGTGTTCACGTCACAACTCGAAACAAGATGAGTCCGTGTGAATCTTCCGCGAAGCGGGTAAAGGATAAATCAAATTCTGTGAAGGAACCGGTACTGTTATCATCCATTTCAAGTCCCGTTCCGTCACCGGATCTGGCGACCAAGCGAGATGCGCAAGCGAACGAGAAGACAAATTTAAACACCCCAATCCCCGGTATGGCTTGTGGTTTCATACAGTAGTGTCTGTTCTAATAGTTGCTACAACAAAACGACTAGATCTAGCCATAGCACCTTGGAAGATTTGGCCGATTTGATCCGCTTGTTTCGTGTCATATTCTTTTTTTTAATACATGAATGTGAACACAGTAAAAGGGGGTAACCTCATAATCCAAGGATATACTGTGCATGGAATAGTAAGTGGAACATTCAAGCTATAATCAGCTTGTTGGTTTCGCGTTTAAAGATAATTATCTTGTAAGTTGGACATTGGACCAAAAGAGTTAGTGTTCCACAGTTGTGCCGTTCTTGAAAAGGTGACTGAAAATTGGAAATGCTTCACCTGGGGAGAATCACTTGGAACGAGTGACTAGCTGCTTGTGTGCCGGACTTACTAGAAAGAACATGTGACAGAGGGACAGAAGCGAAATCCAAAATTTTAGCGGTAGAATAAGGATAAGGAATCGACTGTTCGGTGATGAGCTAATGACTGCAAGTTACACGTTTGGGACGAGTCGTTGTCGTCGTCGTAGGCCGAATTACCTTACGTTTTACTCAATCAAGAAGAAACAGAGGACTGAACGAAGCTCCACCCCACATGACTGCAGTGTTCAAGTTTAGGGCGAATCTGAGCTTTAAGAAGCAAGAGGAAGTGAATGGCGGTTTCAACAGTACTTGGAATTTCATCAAAACAGAAAGAAGACAAATGTCGCGAGATGTTAACATTTCGTTTAATCTTCTCAGTCGCTGACAGGCACATATATAGCACATCGGATGAATCAATTTTGGTGAACA